CGGGGAGCAGTGTCGCGAGACCTGAGGCCCCCGCGGGGAGCAGTGTCGCGAGAGCGAGGCCCCCGCGGGGAGCAGTGTCGCGAGAGCCAGGCCCCTGCGGGGAGCACTGTCGCAAGACCTGAGGCCCAGCCTCTCTAGGAGGGAGTGGACAAATGGTGAGCAGGCAGCCTTGCGACGGGTGCTTGGAGTGACACTCAGTTCTTCACCCCGGAGATCTCCCCGTGTGTTGAGCATGTTTCGCAGAAAGCCACAGGGCTGGCGCAGAGGCCTGAGAGCGGGCGCTCCTTGGGCTCTTCCACGTCTCCGCAGGCCTTTGCGATCCGGGTGGAGTCTCAGCATGTCATATGGCCTGGTTCACGTTTGCGACTGACACCGCGGTGCCGAGCAAACCCCTTTCTGCATAGGCTTTACATCCCATTCCTAACTAATTTTATTATAGCACTTCTTTGTGTTAGTCACCATGCCTGTAGGCCTATCAAGTGGGAGTTATCAAAAATGTACCCAACCCAAGGAGAGCACTTGCTGTGGTCACACTGCTGAGATGGAGCCCAGAGCCGGCTTTTCTCTGGGCGCTTGCAGAGCTGTGGCTTTGATGAGACTGCCACCCTCTGCGCAGCCACACCAGGGACCATGCCACGCCATCCAGTGGCTACCCAGGAAGGTCTGTGCAGACCGTGAGCGAGAGGAAGGGAGCTCTTTCTGTGCCGATAGCAAGTCCACTTCGCTGCCAAGCTGTTGGCAGAAGGAATTAACATTTATGAAAGTAGAGTGGCAGACTTAGTCAAAATAATGATATAAGAAGAGTTTAACAGGGAATATAATCAAACTGTGATAATGTGGACGGGGTTACCAGGTCTAGCCCATGACAGAAGTATAACTTCGGTACAAAAGAAGTCATCCTAATGTTCTGGCAACGTGTGTAAGTCCTGAGGGGGAGGGAGAGAAAAGAGAGGCCATCACAAAAGTTCTGACAGTTGAGACTGCGGCCGCAGGGAGACGGGAAGGGAAGGCAGGAGAGGCCATCGGCACAGTGGCCGTGGACAGCATGCCAGGCACAGCTCTGCAGAGCGAGACCACCCTTGCTTTTAGGGAAGAGTTTGTTGTTTTACACATCTGGCACAGCAGTGTTTGTCTTCACTGCCTGTGGGAGATGCACAGGGAGACAGGAAAGCCATCAGAAGGACTTTTTTAAAAAACAAAACACTTGAGGATTACCGGGAGCACTAATGCCCCGCCTGTCACTACCGTCTTACTGGCCTAATGCGCGGAGAGGCGTCGAGAGGGAAGATTAGTAACATATCTGGGCATCTAGTAAAAATACCCAGTGACTTCATCCAAACATTTGTGTAATCACCACCTCATGAGTCCCAGAGAGTGCTGCGGAAACAAATTGAGATGCCCCTCTGCTGTTCTAAACATAGCCCGGCTGCGCGCGTGTCTCCTCGGTAAATACCAGGTCTTACTTGGAAGCCTTTATCTTGATAGTTCCCTCATAACGCCGCCGTTGCTGAGCCCATGCTGTCTTTGTTTGGATACTTGCCTCAGGGCCTGACCTGTCGGCTTTCTATTAAATAACTTTAAACAAAACAGAACAATTTCCCCCTTAACTTTCATCTCTAATAAGCTGTTTATGCAACAAGAAGATGTTTGAATTGCTGAAAGCTTGCTAGCTTCAAGTTACTGGATACTGCATTAAGTCCAAAACCAATGAACTATTTACCTAATGATTTTTCCACTGACACCTGAAGCAGAACTTGGAAAATTTTGTCTCATACAAAAGATTCTTTTTCAAAAACTAAACAAGCAAAAATAACTGTAACTATGTTTTGGTAGTTTTCCAGTAAGCTATCTAGCAGGTGAACGGTATGCAGTGAAGCCATAGATTGCAGGAGCACTGTACCCTTACTGCAAGCAGAAGTTTGTGGCGAATTCTAAACTTTACCAATGTCCTTACCTTAAGAATATCTTTATTTTCGCAGTCATCTGGGATGGGGATCACCCATTCCGGGCCCCCCCTTCTGTCCCTCTTTTGGATGGGAGCTTTCTTTCCCTCAATAAATATATTCTGCTCATAAAAAAAATCATCTGGAATGATAGACTCCTTCAAATTAAACACCTTATGCCTTCCTAATGCTTCTTAGTATTTGTGTGGGTATTACTCTTTGAGTTTCTCCAAGGCTATGCGTCCCTACTAGCAACGAGCATAGCAGCTGGGGCCCTATTGTTGTCCCTTCTAGGTACTGTCAGGGTGCCCAGGTGTGTGCGCTTTGGCACCAGCCAGACTCCGTGTTGGGTGAAGCTGCCTCTGTGGGAAGAGGCTGCACAGCACGCCCTACTGTTTGCGCAATTGGCAGTGGGCTGGCAGGATTTCTGGGCAGGGAAGAGGAAAGCGAACTGATGGCAAGCACCACATGTGCCCACAGCCAGGGTGTCTGCCTCTGCAGTTCGCTCTCGTTTCTCTGTCTGCCTGTCTGTCTGTCTGTCTGTCTGTCTGTCTGTCTGTCTCTCTGTGGTATCTGCAAAGCAATGCATACAGTACAAGATAGAACAAGAGCAAAAATACAGTGTATGGCTGCATTTTAACAAAACTTACTACAGTAAAGGACACAATGCCAAGGATGACGGGATAAGTGTGTTTGGAGTAAAGGGGAAGATTTCGAAGGGATTAAAGGCAATGTGTCTTTCACTGGAAAAGACATTTTAAATGAAACACCATATTTCTGGATCACCCCTTATAGCTCTCCTGCTCATTTATTAAAATAAGCTTTGTAATTTAGATATGAAACCTTATGAATACATAGATCCATTAAATTCTTTTGGAACAAAACAGGCAAAATAATGCCTACATTAGTCCTTTCCAATTATTTCTTTTTCCCTGCATTTTGATTAAGTTCATTCCAAATGATCCAAACCTGTGTGTCGAGAGGGCTGTGCGGAAGCCAGGTAGTCAGAGCCTCAGCATCAGGGACACAGGCCGGTGCGTGCTTGTGCTAGACACACCATGAGAGGGGAGGGCTGTTGTCTAGTTATTGGAATGTGCCTGGTTTTTAAAATATGACACTTCGTAGAAAGACAGTAATACTTCCAGTCACAAACTTTTCATCGAGGTAGTAACACCCAGAGATTGGAAATCACTGGTGAAAGGTGAGGATGCCTGCGCGTATGTTTCTGCACTCGTCTCCTCCACAGTCTACACCAATCACTTGACTCCCTAGAATTCTGTGGAATGTTCCGGAAGCTCTGCTCGTAGGCTTCCCCAGACTTCTTGTGCTTCTTTATGTTAAGGGCCGGCCTCTAGGTAGGCAAAAGCCAAGTGAATGGGCATAACTGTGACAAAGGCCAGCTGGTCCTGACTGTTGGTCGTCTGGCAGGCCCCTTGCCCTGCACGAGGTATCCTAGACTCCAGAGAACTGTGGCAGGGCGCACCTCTCACTCCATCCTCGCTCACGCAGCTTGGTGCTTAGGACACAGGCGCATTCCAGCTGCGGAGCCTTGGCCAGATTACTAACTCCTCTGGGCCTCCTTTCCCTACCTGTCAAGTGGGGCAATTCCAGGGCCCAGTTCAGAGGAGAAGAATGAGTTAGTGCCGCTGTGTAGCTGAGAACAGTGCAGCCTGGTGTGCAGCGAGAGCTCTCGGAGCGTCAGCAACACCCACAGTAGCCATAGTAGTCATTTTCCTTCTCCCTCAACTGCGCCGTCAAAATGTACCCATTTTGTGACCATTCCTGTGGTCAGCCTGCTGATTGTTAATCACTTGCCAATTAGTGTTAACGGTTCATGTGGCACCTGTCCCAGGAATACTACCTTCCTGAGCAGTGAAATCGTGAACATGGGGCGGGTACTTGGGCTGTTGAGGCAGGAGGAAAGGGTGTGTCAGAAGAGCCAGTGCTCATGGAGGCCACCCGGTATCCGTCCGAAAGGCCATGACCTCTCACCGCGGTGGTCTCACCGTATTCCACGTATTCTTTAGCTGTGTATCACTTTCCCGACTAGAGGGCAGCAGTTCTGAGGACAGGCAGAGTCTTGTCTGCTTTGCCTCCCAGCACTTACTGGTCCTCACGAATGGCTGCCGAGCCAGTGTGTAATGTGAATGTCCCCACCCTCGTCACCTAGCCCGCAAGTTCTTGCGCATCAAGAAAGCTGTGCAGATGCTAGTCTGACTGCCGTGTTTCTTCCCAGATGACGACGTCCGTGCAAGCAGTCTGAGTTCAGATGGTGTCATGCCAGTTGCTTTCATGGTAACCACGAACCAGGAAGGGCTGAACTACATGGTACTTGCTGCAGAGCCCAGCCAGAGTAGAGAGCACTCTGAGGGTCCTCTGTGCTCCAAAGAACCTGAGTCTTGCCATCTGAGGAAGGCAGAGAAGGCGCTGCCAGCAGGCCAAGATCTCTGCCAAGAGAAGCGAGAGACTGGCTGCCGTTCTGGCACTTCCCCACGCCTGCACTACGCCTTCCTTGCTCATGGTGGGTCTGGAGATGGGTCTGACTCACAGCACTGCTTGGAAGTCAAGGGGAGAGCAGCACTCTTGTGAAGCTTTGCTGGAGGAGAGCAGGCTGGGTGTGGTGGCTGTCACCTGCGGTGCTGCGTCACACTGTAAAGTCTGACTTCTAATCTTGATTTTCAGACCTTTTGGTTCCATTTGCAGCAATCCTCATGCCAGTGGCTGCTTCCCACCCTCCTTCACATCACAGACCGGTGTTAGGGACAGGAGTGGCTCTGTTCCTGCAGGTTATCTAGAAGGTGACAGGAACCAGACTATGTTTTGTAGGTATAAGATAGAGGCTTTGGCCACATTGAAAACAGGACAATGAAAACATTTGAGTCCTAAAGTTCAGCATTCAATGATCTCTGCATCTACAAAATCCACGACTCTGCACTGTAATGGGCTAACTGATGCGAAGACTGCCTGGGGCTTAGGGTGCGGCTCAGCGTGGGCTGCTTGTCTGTGTCCATGACATGGGTCCTTGCAGCTGTCCCTGAGTGGAGGGCTTGTGGGATCGTCTCCTGGCTTCTTTCATGTCACACAAGTGCAGAAGCTGTCAGGCTGGCCACTGGAAGTTCCTGCTCAATGTTTCTGAAGCCAGCCTAAAATCCTACAGGGTGCGTGCGTGCACTGTGATTTCTTGGCTCCTTGTTGACCGTATGTGTGCTCATCACTCGCTCATTCAATAAACGTTGGCTAAGTGACCATTATGCAGCCAGCAGTTCTGGGTACTAGGAACAGAGCGCAGAAGCACAGCCTCTGCCATTATGGAGGGTCTGTTTTGGTGTGCTAGGTGAAGGAAGGAAGAGATGCAAGAAGCAAACAAAGTACACAACCCTTGGGTGCCATCTTAGCCTTGCACAGTGGTGCAGAGCTCCGGGTGTTCCAGGGCTTAGGAAGGTCTGTTGAGAAGGCTACAGACCCTGATACACAGGACCAGGGATTGGCGTGGATGTCCCAAGAAGGTTGCCTCCTGTGCCTTGGCCTACCCCTCCTAAGTAAGAACTAGCACTTCCTCTGTACGATAACCTAGGGCCCTTCCCTGTCCTCTTGACTGCCCAGTGGGTCTCTCGATTAAAGATGCCCTGGGTCAGATAAGAAAAGAAATCACATTCCAAGGAGGAGCTGAGAGTTCACTAGCATGCACTGGCAAGAGCCAGGGGACCATGCTGGGCGTGCACACTGAAGGCGCCCAAACGGGGCAGCAGGAAGGCAAGAGCAGCTAGGTAGGAGTCTGCTCCCAAGATGCGCCTGTCCTGGAACAGGAGGTTTAATGGCCGGAAAAGCCCCGGGAGCTGAGGCCCATGTGTGGCTAGGCGGGACGCGAAAGTCCAGAGATAACGCGAGTTCCCTACAAGTGGGCAGAAGAGTGCAGAGGCTGAGGGAGGTGGGGATGGTAGAGCCTTGTCATGTGGGGCTGCAGCACCCCAGGGCGCTCATTTGCCATCAGTTATCTAGGATGTGTTGGTGAGAGGGCCAAGCATCTTTCTCAGCACTGCCAAGGAGCTCGGGCCAGGAGGGCAGGAGAGAGGATCCCGGTGCTTGCTGACAGCCTTGGGCAGGACACAAGCTTGGCAACAGACTGGTTGGCTCGGCTTGATCATCAGGAGCTGGAGGACTCCATTGGTATGATGGGGGAGGGCAGCCCAAGAGAATTGACTACGAAGTGTTGCAAAGGTGGTTAACGACGGGTGTTATTCCACAGAGGAAGAGACTGGCACCTACAGTCAGTAAAAGGCTATTGTCAGGGTTCTCCAGAGAAAACCAATAGACTATGTAGATAAATGACAGATGATAGAGACACACCAAGATAGACAGTACGTGGTGGATGGATAGATAGGTAGACACCACAGAAAGCCAGTAGGAGCCAGTGACACAACTGTAACTCCAAGGCCAAATGCCTGAGAAACTAGGGGGCTGTGAGTACGAGTCTTGGAGTTTGAGGAGCAGAGAACCAGGTGTTTTAATGGGCAAGGGCAGGGGAAGATAGATGCCCCAGCTGAGACGGGTAGGCAGAGAGACAGAGATGAGAAAGGGGAGAGAGAGAGGGTGAATTTATGTGTTCTGGATCTGGCCAACTGGATGGCGCCCACCCACGCCGAGGGCCAAGGCCCTTTCTTCTGCAGCCCACTCACATTAGTGCCAGTGTCTTCTGGAGACACCCTCACAGATACACCAGAAACGATGTTTTGCTGGTCATCCTGGTGTTCCTTAATCTAGTCAGTTGATACCTAAAATTAACCTTCACAAAGGCAAAACAAGAGGAGGCTGCCGTGGTCACTCCAATGAAAATCTCTATCCCTGCTCCATTCCCAGGTGTCTCAGTCACTCTTTTCTCACTGCTGGGACAAATACTGACACCCCAAATGAAGGAAGGAAAGGTTTATTTAGCTCACAGTTACTGGAGGTTTCAGTCCATACTCAGCTGGCTCCAAGGCAGAGTGGCACAAGGCAGAGAACAACCTTTCAGGGTGGTGGCAAAGAGCAAGAGCACCAGGGAGGGGTAGCAGCAGCTCCAGCAGCTGGCTTCTCTTCCCCTCTTACATTGAAATGCAAATTACCTGCCCCAGGGCAGGTGCAGCATCCACACCCACAATAAACAATCACAAACTCCAGAAGCTGCCAAGACTGCTTGAGGCTTTGGGGTGACACCTATACACAAACCATAACACAGGTCTGAGCCAGTTTTCAGATGTAAACAGGTCCTGGGGGGCAGGGGGAAGACCCTGTGACACCATTGTAGGTGCCTACAGAGAACAGAGGACCCCGGACACATCCCACTCTTAGGTAAGGGTCTGAACTGAGAAGATTCCAGTGCAGGAGGTCAAGTGGAAACCTCTGCACGTGGCTCTTCTTTTATCCCCTCCCTCAGCCCAGAGGGCAAATGGAAGCCAATGTGGAATTCCAGAGCACCACTAAGGGTCTGTGGGGCTCGTGGTGTCTGTGTGACTCTGCGAATCTCACCAGGGCTCCTGCAGAGACTAGGTGTCTTCTGAGGACTGTGGAGCCCCACAGGCCAACCCCAGAGCAGCCCCAACTCCAGGTGCTACCCTAGTTTCAGTGCTGTGCTGGTGAACACAGCCCTGGGGTGTGGGCACCTTCTCTGGGGCTCCAGACGGATGGTGACCCAGTGAGGAGACACCAAGCAAGACAGCTAGCACAGATCTTCAGCTGGGCCACCTGGAGCTTGCTGAAGCTGTGCAAATGTGTGCAGGAGCCACATTACCTTGGGCACAGGAGAAGGCAGGAGAGCAAACCAACAGGGCAAGAAAATGACTGAGGTATGTTGCCATTTAGAAGGAGCAAGAGAGAAGCACCAGGAATAGGTTGAGGGAAGCTTTCTGGTTTTGCTTGAGGCAGGAAATATTTTATTAATGGCAATGATGCAGGAGAGAGGGAAAAGCCATGATTCCAGGAGAAGGGGTGAGGCTGGAGGTGGTGTCCCTGGGCAGATGGCAGTCACGAGGGCCTCTCCCTACCCGTAGTAATAAGGGGATTTTCCCAGCTGAAGCAGGCATCCAGGAGCTTTTGTCTTTTTAAATTTTTGTCCTCCACACCTTGGATAAACCTATTTTGTAATTTGCACATAAAGCCTTTGATGTGACACTTTGTGCCTTTCTCAATGGTTGGTAGCTCCTGTTCCTCGCCATGCATGCCAGGTTTGGGCTAAGAAGAAGTCCAGAGCACATGCAAGAGGCCCTCGGGATTCTGTGGCCTGGAATCCTGGGTGAAGGACACATCATTTCTAGTACACAAGCCACGTCAGCACCTTAGGGCTAGTGACCCAGTGCGCCTAGGTACACGTTAGGGTCGAATCCCATTTGGAGGAGCAGTGCTGAGGATAAAGTTTTTCCCATAGAGGGAGACAAACTGACAAGAACCTTGTTGGGGGTGTGAGAGGAAACTGCCGACAGGTCTGACAAGGAAAAGCCTCAGACAGCAGTAAGGCTCTGGCGAGCGGGTGATTTCTGGATTGTGCATCTTTGGGTGAGAATGCGTTTGGTGGCCTTCCTGAGCCACTCGGGCCACTGAGAGGAGACAGTGCTAGCTTCACTCAGAACAGTAATGTGGAGATAGAAACAAATACGAGAAATGGATCAGGAAACTAAAAGACAAAATACACATCATTCTTTTTCTATTGTTTTTAGTGCCTTTTCTTTTTAAAAATTTATGTATTTGGTACAGGGTCTCACTACGCAGCATGTTTTCACCCTCCCCAGCAATGGCATTACAGGCATGTGCCACCGTGCCCCAACTTGGTCATTGGCTCAGCGTGCCCAGGAGCGGGCCTGGTACAGCATACTCCTGGGAATCCAACCCCAGTCCCTCCACTTGCCTAATTTGGAATTTAGTGCCTTTTTAAAAATTAAAAGGTACAGAAGTGAGGTCAAGTTAGAAATTCTTGTGATAAAGGAGGGGACAAGTTGTGCCCAGAAACGACCCTCAGCATGTGGAAGCCTTCCGGTTCCCACTGTGCAGCCTGCTGAGCCGGGTAGTCTGCACGTGCGATGTTCACCTGTGCTGCGGCCCCAGCGCGGGAGGCCCAGGCGCCCCTGTGCTTCCTGCCCACACTGAGGGTCAGCAGGGTGGAGATCATAGCAGGCAGCATTATTTATTTTCCTTTTTTACTTTAAGTGTAGTTTGTATCTCAAGAAAAACTGGGAGATGCTATTATTTCATTTAGAATAACATTCCAGGCTTATTTATGCTTTAGCTATTCTTTAGGCATCAAATGACCAAGCATCACAACTGTCAATGCAAGGTGGCAGGGGCCAGTAGGATCGTTTTTATTAACTAGTTTGGAACCTCTGGTGTAGAGCCGGTGTAACTTTCTGCCTAATTCCAGTTGAATGAACTTCCTCGTCAGTTTCCCTCAGGGTGCATGCCTAATCCCCCAGACTCTTTTCTTAGTCCTTCAAAAAACTCTGAGTGAAGAATGTGTTTTTATAAAAAGCCTTTGAACAAGGAAGAACAAATAGCATAAGCTCTGCTCTCTGTTTCTTACAAAAATCTGTCTGTCAGCACCCTTCTGTTACCTTCTAAGCACAGAGAAGCAACTGCCTGAGGTAAAAATGTGACTTCAGAGGGCTTTAGGTGACACTCCCAAAGGCACACGAAATCCCGCAAAACGCCAGGTATGTGACAAAGCAAGGCGTGCTGCGGCGCCGAGGGAAGCAGCAGCGTCCACGTGCTCTCCAGGGTGGGTTACATGCCCCCAAGGCGTGTCGGAGGCAAGAAGCAAACAGCGCCTCGCCCAGCGCAGCAGCGCAGAGGCAGGAGCCAAGGCTGTTCTGCTCTTCATCTGATTTCTCAGAGTATCGCTGTTGCATGGGACTAATAGTGCCGCTGCCAGAAACCAGGAAGGAAGTCGGAAGGAAAAGGGAAAGAGAAAGAAAGAAGGAAAGAAACCAGCCTGCCGCTCCGGGAGCCGAGCATCGCTGGCAGGGGCCACTTGTAATAGTGGCTGTGACCAGTGTGCATTTGGAATTTTAAGGTCCTTGGTTTTTTCTCCTGAGTGAAAACTTAAAAATATTCTAAATAAACTTTCCAACTATGAGATAAATACAGGTATAAACTCCAGGTATAAACTCCAATAAATTTTGGTACAAATTTTTAATAAGCAACTGGTGATCGTGCAACTGATGCAAAAATAAATTAGGAAAGAAGATTTTAATTCTTTGGTTTTGTTTTCCAAAGTTCGGTTTACCTTACCCTTTTCTTTTTTGCTTATGTAATGACTATATATTAATTTGTGCATGTTTAGTAGAAAATAGAAATAGTGGTGGAAGGGGAGTAGTCTGAGTAAATCCACTTTTGACATCGAGCTTAGGTGGAACTAGCTGCCTCAGAGAATCTAGAAGCAAAGTGGAGGAGCAGGAGACGCTGTTGCTGTAAGGGTGGAAACATCAACCTCACAGGCGACACACCAGGACACCTTCCTAAGGAGAGGGCATTTTCAGCTCACTTTTCCAAATGAAGATTCTGAAGTCAAAAGTAACATGTTTTACCAAAATAATCATTCTAGTAGGTTCAACATTAAAGTTTGAACATTAATTCTATTGCAAGCTATTTTGTTCTTTTCCCCCCAAAGCAAACCCACCTGCCTCTGATGGGCAGCATGGGCTAGCAGGTCGCCTCCATCCTGGCCATGCTGCCTGGACGCAGGGCGCGGAGGTCAGGGTGAAACAGCTGGGAGCCGCTTCTGTACTGCTTTGCCTTTTTAGGCCATGAGGGTCTCTGTGTAGGAGTCCATGATTGACAGCCCACTCCAGAGCCAATTAGCACCCTCTAATTTATTAGCTTCTGCTTTCAGATTATGCGCTAACTTCACAAATGTCCCAGCCATGGAAACAGCAGCTATCAAGTGTCGCTTCCCTGATCCAGCCCTTCTGGGGCTGGAATGAAAGGTGCGGAAAGTGAAGCGCAGTCAGTCTTCCAAGTGAAGAATGTTTGTGTCTGCGCCTGTCTGAGGCTCAGTGCCCACAGACAGGAGTCCACCCGTGGATAAGCAGACACGATGGGAGGATGCCAGCTTCGCACTCCTGAGCCATGTTTAGCTGGGGGTGGTGAGGAAGGGCCAGTGTGTAGAAAATGAGTTTATGTCAGCTTCACCTCGTGACTCATGTCGTCACAACTGTAGTCACACACAACAGCAACAGGAGTAACGATGCCCTCCGCCTTGTGCCAGATTCTCGGGGTACATACTGAACCCGAAAACTCCAGCAAGGAAGCCTGGAACCCCTTGGTCGAGGGCCTTGCAGCGCACAACTGAAACTTACTTGGAGATTGGCAAACTAAAGCAATTTTATAAAGGAAGCGGATGTTCTTCGATTTTGTTTAAAAAACTTTTCAATTGTATTTTTCTTCCATGCTTTGAGATCATTCTATGAATCAAATTTTAAAATGCAACACATGGAAATGGTGTTACTATGGAAAGCAGTTCGCACATCTGAGCGTTCGTACCTCCTCCAGCTCACTGCATGCGCGAGGAGGAGCCGCTCGCTTACTGACGGCAATGCGCAAACGCAGGCTCGCTCTTCTCTCTTCAGTGGAACCTGGGGTCTTAAAGCTGCTTCACTGCATGCAGGGGGGCACAGAAAATGCAGGACTCGCCCAGAAGAAGGGGCCAGGGCAGCTTTGCAAGCCCCTGGAGCCCGAAGCTCACCTCCCATGCGGGCCGGGCACAACCTGAAGTCATCTGCAGGCTCTGCTATGCATACAGACAGAACCTCAAAGGGAAGATAGCCCGCACGGCAGCGCCTCTTCAGCCACTGAGTTCTCAGCCAGAGGCAACGGCAGGAGGATTCCTGGGTGGTGCGGTGTCTCGCCCCATTTTGTCACCGCTTCCTGGCTGGCCACAGGCTGAAGGAAAGCTTGTCAAGGGCGGTGTGACAAGGGAGCTGGCCTTCCTCAGACCTTCACAGAGCGAGCAGTATGAAAACGCCACTCTCACCCTGCCCGTGGCAACCTGCGCTTGTGAGTGTCCTTTTTCTGATAACTGGAGCCCTGGTGAGTCTGTGGGGTTTCCCTAGTATTAGCCAGACAGGCATGGGAGATTTTTGTGTGACTCAGAGGGCCTAAAGCATGTTAGCTATGGCTGTTAATTCTAAAGTTCCCTTTGACGATCTTGGTACACAGAACTGAATCTTTGCTCTGAGTCATCTTTCGTTTCTACTTTAGGAGGATATAAAACAGTGAAGGGCCAGGTGACAGCCACTGCCAAGTTGCTGGGCCTGAGCCGGCTCAGCAGCCTGGACAGTGTGCTCAACACTGCCCAAGGGCTGCTTCCAGTGAATGAGTCTCCTCATGGGCAACCTGATATTAAGGTTAGACGCAACTCAGGAGGGAGGTTTTGGCAATCAGAACCTCGTGTCCACAAAAACACTCCCTGGGGTTAGAGTCACAGACCTCGCACGCTCACAGGTGGAAACCCTGGAGTACAGGCCAGAGGAGACCCTGCTGCGATGCTCATCCCCCAGGGGCAGAGTCCCAGAAGCACACTGGGACTTGCTGCATCTTATTTGTGCATGTATACACCAGGGAGCCAGGCCAGGGGAATGGGGATTAAAAGAATCCACAGAGAAGTCCAAAGTTAATTTTAGTTATTGCTTCGATGTCCAAACCTCAGGCTAGCTCTGACTAGGCTTGATCAGCTTGGGTGTGAAGAACTTCAGAGTAGAGAGGCTGTTGGATACTGACATGAGCTATAGGAAAGGCAGCATCAAGAGCCTGCAGCTTCCTGGACAAGACGAGTAAGGGCATCTTTGAGACCTGGGACACTGTGAGTTTGACACAGTATCAATCCCTGCCTCTTTCCCCATGTTTTACAAGGAAGGAGAAGAAAGTAGGTTCTAAAGTCAGTTCTTGCTAAGAGCCAGATCTGAGCTGGATCACGGTGCTCACAGCAGGTGACAGTGACCTCTGGGCCAGGCTCTTCACATCTCATCCTGGCCCTGCCACTTACAGGGCAGAGTATGTCTCCTCCGGGTGCCACAGCTTTCTCACAGTAAGAGATCATCCTAGTAAATACTACTCAAATGTGGAGACTGAGGGAGAAACTTCTCACGAAGCCCTCAGGCCAGCCCTGGTGTGTAAGAAGCAACATCCGTTATTTATCAGTCCTTGCATCTGCAGCAGAATCATCATACAGTATCTTCCGTCTCGTGTTTATGCCTGAACAAGGTACAAGGCAAATCTGAGCCCAACACAAAATGTATCTCCTGGGTCTTTTAGAAAATGATCACAAGCAACTCTGGCATTAAGAATAAAGGAGAAAAGACTATAATTTAATAATCTTTTTTTGCCTAGAAGGTCTGGTTTCCTAACATAACTTATTAGAATATAAAGTAACCAATATTTCAATATCACTTTTAATTAATGAGCTCACTATTTAAAGTCCAGAATTTAAGAAGTAATAGCCATTCCCTTCCAGACATGTGCCTGCTGGAGGGAGCTACAGTGGTGCCCCGTGCACTCTTCTCCTGCACCTACATTCTGCCAGCTAAGCCCTGGTTTTGCTGCTGGGTCTTCCCATCTCTCAGTGTGAAGCGAAGTAGAAGGGTTGGCAGACCTCACAGCCCAGAGACACTCTGGAAAAACTGATGTGTGAGTGTGTACTTCTCAAGACACTGCTGACATCAGAGCACACTACTAAAAATTATTTTGTTCCACTAAAGGAAAACTACAACATTTTTTTCTTTTTTTGGTACCAGGGTTTGAACTCAAGACCTTGTGCTTGCCAGGCAGGTGTTTATGTCATTGAGCTATATCTCTGGCCCTCTTTTTTTCTTTGAAACAGCACAGTGAACTCATAGTAAACAGACAAGTTTAATGTTTGTTTCATCTTCCTCATCACCCTCAGCTTTGCCCGTACCCAGACCCCTTCCCCTGTCCCAACACAAAAGTGACCAATCACAACCTTAAGACAGAGAGAACTAAGGGAAGTGTTCTGACCCCATGGACAGCATCACGTGGCGATGCCTAGGTCCTCTCCGGGAAGACAGTAGGGACTCCTGTGTAGCTTTTCATCCAGAGGAGAGGAGGGCCAGGATTTGCAGGAGAGAAGGCAGAACAGGGTTTCATCTCTCATCATAAAATGTGCCTTATAAAAAAGATGATTTATGTACATATATATATATATAATATATCTGGTGCAACTGCAATTGTCCTGCCACACACTGGAAGTGCCACCTTGCTCGATGTATTTCTGGAGTTTTCAACAGTTGTCCAACAACAGCTGCAAAAATTTCAGTAAGACTGGGGCAGGTGGCTCCCGATCAGCCCCCTGCCACTCACACTGAGGAAGCAGCATTCGCAGTCTGAGGAAAAAGTCTAACTTTCTGTCTGGAGTGGGTGTTGTGCGGTGGGAAGGCGGAGGGAGCTGGAGGCCAAGCCTGAGGAAGAAAGAAGCGGCTTCTTCGAGATTCTCTGCCACAGTCTGTGTTGCAGGCCTTGAATCTGAGGACACTGAACATCAGAAGCGCCATGGCCACACTACGTAATGAAATACTTCACATCAGCATAAAAAATATTCACACCAAAAGGTCTCTTTTGCTTTCCCCCATTCCAAGAAATCTTATGATATCAGATCACCCAAGTAAGCAGCTTCCCCGCAGATATTTCCAGTGATTTGGCCAAAGTCATTAAACATAGCTCAGAGTCTCTGGGTCTACTCTTCTGGCAGGAGAGATTAATTCTGGATGACATTTCTGTACATGTGGTTTTTGGTTTTCCCAGTACACTGAGAAGTTTGAAGCCTCTGCCTTCCCTTCCGGGAGCCTCCATGGCTGGTAGAAGGGGCAGAGGGGGCCCTCCTCAGCGATCAGCTCAGAAGGGGTGCACCACAGAGCGAGTAGCGCCGAGCTGCAAACCAAGATCAGAAGCCGTTACAAACCCACTCCACTTCACCGTGGGGCCACAACGTGCACCGTGCAGGCACCTAGGGGAGAAGGTGGGCTGCCTAAAACCAGTACAGATCCTTGCTTTTGTCCTGAAGCTGCAAACCTGGAAACAGAGGGAAGATAAAAGGGGCAGAGGAAGAGAGGGACAAAGGGACAGGAGAAAGAGAAGGAGAGAGGGGGCGTGGAGGGAAGGCACAAGATATTTCAGGAAAGAGAAAGACAAACAGCACTGTTTTAGTGTGATAGTCACTGTCTTCCTGGCAGGTTGTGTGGGGTGAATGACAATAAAAGCCAGGCAACCAGAAAGTCACATCTGCACCTGCAAGAGGGGCAACGTGACCCCTGCACTCCTCGAGGGCAGAGCTGTTGTTTACATTCACCTTAAATGTAAAACACACAAAGCAGCATCTCAAAGAACGTGCCTTCCAAATTCAACTTTTCAAGCCAGAGACTCAAGACTGGCATGGCAGTCAAAGCCATATTCTGTAAGTTTTACATCTGGAAGACCCACTTAATTTGGCAGTGAAGCTGCCACAAGAAGCCCCGAGGGGCTCTCAGCGAGCAGAAGTCACGGAGGACTTCAGCCTCCCTGGGGCTGGGGCTCAGCGCTGTCCAGTAGGGGCTGAACGCTAAACTCTTCAGATAGCTCCTTAGGGCAACGGTGAAAGGAGGTGAACGCGAATTTAAATATTACATTTGAACTCAGGAAACTCAGCACTCACTCTGGCACAGACCACAGAGCCCGGTCCTTTGGAGTCCCCTCCTCCCCTTCACACGTGCCTAGGAACCAGGGTGCGGGACAGCGCAGAGCCTGGACTTTTACATCAAGTTTCGTTTTAAAAAGTCCTTCGCAGCCCTCAGGCGCCTGGTTGGGGCTGCTTTGGCGCCGCCTGGAATAGTGTAGAGGCCAGGCCACGCAACCCCCGCCCGCGTCCCTCTCGTCCCCGGTCTCCACTTACCTGCGTCGGCGCCCAGGCCCAGGCCAGTGTCCCCGGCAGGGCCCCCAAACGGCGCAGGAGGCGCTGCCCAAGCCCCTGGGGGTGGCTCTGGCCGCGCGGGGCGCTCGCAGGCTGGGCCGCGGGGCGCGGGGCCGAGGCGGGGGCGCGCGGGCATCAGCAGCGGCCCGAAGCGCGTGTCCAGGCGCGGTGCGTAGACCTCGTGCACCGCGGAGCCCAGCGCATAGGGCGCGTGCGGGGCCCAGGCCTCTGCCGCGCTGGCGGAGGTGTAGGGGTCGGCGGCGAAGGGCAGCTCCGGGGGCGCGGCGAGCTGGGCGCCCAGAGGGGCCGCTGGGTACGCGCCGCCCCAGAAGGATGCGGGGAGTCCGCGCTGGCTCATCGGGCAGGGCCCCTCTGCGGGAGGAAGGGAGGCAGGGAGAGCGGTGAGCAGGGCGCCGTCGCGCCCCATCCCTGTCTGTCCCTGTGGCGCAGTTGCGGGGCCAGGCACCCCTGGAAACTGCTGCCAGTGCGGCGCCCCGGGGCCTGCGCAAGGACACCCGGAAAGGAGACTCGTAGAGGCCGTTCGCAGGGATGGGGCTGCTGGGCTCCTACGTTTTAACCTGTAAATTTTCTACCTCCCTGTGAGAACGCCAGGCAAAAGCACGATTCGTATTGTCCATATGGCTTAAACCTGGGGCCGGGAGCTCTGCGAGAGGTGCGGGAGTGCGGCTCAAGGAAGGGGGCGCCACCGACCAGAGGCGAGGATACGCGCTGCGGGGAGACAGGCTCCACGGTAAAAAGAATGCTCTACGCTTAACACTTAGGGTCTTGGATCCTGTGCTAGGGCAAAGAAAAAGAAAGGAAAAGGGAAAGACAGAAAAAGGAAAGGCAAGGGCTGTCAAATGAAAATAACAACGAAGTCCTCTTTTCCATCTCAGCACGTCAGAAACAGTCTGGAGAGCAAGTTGACTACCTGGTTTGGGTTTGTTACTTTCCTTTGAAAAGACCTCATCTGTTTCCTGAGCCTCAGCGGGGCCCTGACAAAGGCACAGGTTTGTTTTGGGAAGCAACCTCTTGGGCTTTTCCTTCGGTCCATTTCAGAAACTAGGAAAGTGGCCCTTCCCCTGTTCTGGGGGAAAATCCTCAGCCCCAGGTGAGGGCTGCGATTAGAAACCCTGCTTCCATTTACATATTACACCTTTACAGTGTTTGCTGTCTTTGCCTTGGGGATTGATGGGAGGGCAAGGTCATTCTATTTTAGAGACCAGTAAAGAATGGCCTCAAAAAGGTTAGAGACTGTGGCAAGGTCGGCCTTAGACCTCCAGGTAGAGTCAGCAGGCAAGCCCAGCCTCCAGTTCCAAGGCTGGTGTCTTTCCAGAGTCCCTGTCTTGCTCTCCAACAGACCTGATATCCAGGTCCTTGCCTCCCCACCCCAAATGCTCCTCATTCTCTCCTTTTCTGTCCAGTTGAGGTCTGTGGGTGCCAGAGTAGACCCTAGGCCAAGAACCCAAAGCCCCTCCCAGCAGGGCACCTCCTCACCTCTCCAGGACCCGGAGCTTCGGGGCATCTTGCTGCTGACGCAGCTTGGCGCATAGCTGCTGGGCTGGCTCAGGGCCCGGCTAAAATGCTCATCTACCACGGAGCTGATGTCTCCCTGGAAGTAGGTGAAGAGGACACAGCGGGAGCTAATGTACTCAGCCTCTGGTGGGTGCTCTTTCTCCGAGCTGCCTTCCTCCTCTTTTATGCTGGCTGCTGCCTGGCTGGAAAATGAGGAGCTGCCGCTGCCGCTGGGGCTGGTGGTGCACTCCGGGGCTTCCTGCATTTTGGAGTAATAGGCTAGTTTCTGCTCAGAGAGAGAAAGAACACTGGTGTCAGTTTCCAGAGCTTCAAGTCCTGACTGGAGTGTTCCTGAGGGGCGCCCCCATGCCCAAGCCTGTGCCCTCCACAGGAGACCCGCCGGAGGCTCAGAAGACTTCTGCGCATGCAGCTCCTGAGGGCAGCTCCCACAGGCTCCCATCTGAGGCCCCCATCCTCCAAATGCTGCTGGGTGTCAGGGAGACCCGTCCTAAAACGCCCGGGACAGAAGACATCCAAAAGCCAGATATGAGCAGGCACTTGAGATAAAGGGCGCACAGATCATGGGGCCGGACCCTGCCCCGTGTCTGCACCCGGAGCACTGCGCTGGGGGGCAAGGAGAAACAGGAGAAATCCCTGTGCACTGCGGCACAGCCAGTGGCTTAAGGCCAGCTTTGGGAAGTGCGAAGGAAGAGCGCGCTTAGTAAGAACAGGCATGTGAGATAAAGCCCTCGCAACAGGTTCGAGTTGCTATTTGTTCACTCATCCATATACTGTCCATTTAAAGTTGTCCTCAGCTTTCAAACAGACCTTAAAGTAAGGAAAAGCCAGTGAACATTGCTGCCGCTCAGCACCACATGCGCGGAGGACAGAGGTGGTAAAAAAGAGCAGGAGGAAGAAGGTTAGATTTCCACTGTGAGGCTTGGTCCTTCCCGAAGGGTGACAGTGACGCCGCTGACCAATTTCTTCAGTAGTGAGCCAGTGTCAATGCACCGTTGCACACAGGGGTGACCTCGCGGCCAAATCACAAGGAACGAACGATATCTTCGTGGACGAGAGAGGACAGGACACGACATGACCAACCCGACGGGAGCCGGCTGTCCCAGTAAGGGGAGCACTCTGAGGCTGGGTCCAAGCCCACGTTGGGGAGCAGTCCTGCCGCTTCCTAAACGCTTCCTCCCTCCACCTACCCGGGCCAAGCCGGAGCTCGCAGGTGAACGTGGAGCCCAGACACCGCGGGGAGCGGCTGAGAGGGGGGAGCGGGAAGAAACCAAAGGCAAACCCACCAGTCCAGCTCTCCGCACATTCAGAGCAGACGCTGGGAGTCAGGGGCGGGGCCGCCCACCTCCTGGGGCCAGAGCAGCCTCCAGGCCCCTGGTCGGCCCAGTCAGCTGCCGGGTGGGGGAGAGGGCGACTAGGCCACAAGTGATCCAGGAAAAGAAAGCCGGCAACAGTACACGACATTTGAGTTTGCAGGACCGGGGTCACGCGATCCTAAGAGGGTTGGTGGGCGGCAGGCCTGCCCATCGGATCCTCGGGGCGGAGAGAGGCAGAGCCCAGCCCCCGGGGGCAGGCGGCCCCAGAACCCACTGACCCGGCCGCCCGGGTGGACTCGCGTGCTGTGGGTCGCAGCGGGACCGGCTTCTCTTCGTGGTCACCCTCGCTCGCTGGACCCGAGCTCGCTTTCCCCGCGTAGTCTCTCTGAGCTCCCCGCTCCGCCCAGGATCCCGGCCCTGAGGATGCAGCTCGTCCACTGCGTCCCCGTCCCTGTCCCGGGAAGCTCGGGAGGCCGGAGCCGCGTGGCAGTGGAGCAGAAACCGCGACCGAACCCCTGGGGTGCCTACCCCACCGCACCGCACCTCAAGGCGCCCCGCCCCACGCTACCCCACCCCGGCCCGGCCCGCCAGAGCCCGCCGCGCGCACCTGGGGGTAGGGGGCGTAGGCGGCCGCGAAGTAGGGCTGCGGGGCGCCGTAGACCTGGTACATGACCTCCAGGCAGCTCATGGCTGCGCCTCGTGCGCCCCGCGGGTGGGAGCGCCGCGCCTTTAACCGCTGGGCGGGGCGGGGCGGGGG